GCGGCCACGCCCCCGCCTCAGAGCCGCACGCCCACTCCTCCTCCACACACAAACTGCTGCCTCCACATTCCCTGGTACACAAATATTCCTTTAAATTTACTATCCCACTTTTGATGGATGAAAAAACCTAATTTGTATTTCTGAGACCAAGAGAGACAATATCTCCGTTGAAAACATATTGTTATCTTTGTTTCGTCAAAGATGAAAGAGGGAGATGACGATATATTTTATACAAATATATTGGTCTCAGTAACCCGAGGTTATATGATTAATATATATTTTATAATAAATCATTAGCGTCTAACACGATAACATAAGGGAGAGAATGAGACCGCGTAACAAAGAGAGAGCGTCAGAGAGTAAAAAACTTTGATATCCAACACAAATAAAAACATAATTTGATAACGTCATAGCCAAAAAAATATTTATAAATAGTTAAGAATGAGTGTAATATGTACATACTTGTCGGAGTTGTCGGAGTTGTCGTCGAGGTCAGTGAGGAGATCTGCGCACGTGTCCGGCAGAGACATCTCGCGCACAGCACGCAGCGCTATCTGTTGTATCACAGCTTTCTTATATCTCATATATTTATTATTTCTTGATATGTATAGATATATATAGATGTTGTGATGTGATATGTTTACCTGGTGATGGACCTGCTTGGTGTCGGTGGCGTGCAGAAGCAGCGCGCGCTGTGCGGGGGGCGCGGCACGCAGCTCGCGCACGCGCGCCCGCAGCGCCGCCAACACGCGCGGCGACACGCACGCCGCCTCCGCCCCGCCCACACCTCCGCCGGCCCCGCCCACTCCGCCCACACCGCCGCTCGCAGAACTGGCGCCGCTGCGTGCCGCCGCAACCTGCAAGCACAAATTAGAAGATATCTCCAAAACGGATCTTGATTAAATTTGTCATAGATGTAGAACATAGTCTGTACGAATCACATAGGCTACTTATTCAGTTTTTTTTTGTTTAGCCCGAACGAAGTTAAAGGGTACAGCTTTTTAACATATAACTTTGTCCATTCCGAATCCTAATTTTAGTTTTCTTTCCTTTGTCATTCCTTTCTTATAAAGTTAGGTAAAGTAAATTTGATGGAGAACAGGACAGGTAAGGGGAAATATTTTATTTCAGTGCGTTTTCTCCTTCGATGAAAGGTAGGCAGGACATATGAATATGTACGTACCATGTATAGTGTGTCGGGTATGCGGTGCAGGAAGCGCGCGCGCCGCACTCGCGACACCTCCGCCTCCGGCACCGCCTGGTCCTCCAGCAGCGCCTGCTCATGTCATCTTTGTTCAGTACATTATAAAGGTACACAGTTTCAAGGTCAAACGTTAAGATATTTGAAAAACACTATACTCTTTATCTTTATGATTTACTTATTAATAAATGTGAAAGTTTATATATATGTATGTATGTGAGAAGATATATCCTGTGCTGGTGCATGAGGTGCACGAGGTGCATGAGGTGCACGAGGTGCATGGATAGTCCAGATAGTGTTGTGTAAGAGAGATGTATGCGCTGCGCTAACTTTAATTTCATCAAGGTAAGGTATGAAGCAGCGCGGCGGTCTGCTCGCGCCGCGGCCGAGCCACGCCTCCGCCCCGCCCCCTCCCTCCACCATCTGCGCCGGGGGCTGCGCCACAGCGCCGCGCCGCACCGCCTGCATTTTGTATCTCAATATTAACAATACTACCTTACAGTTATTGCTATACTGATAAAGTGTTCTTATAAAATTTCCCATATAAAATATCTTCTAGCATCAGTAACTCAGTTGAAAACTTGATTTGTAATCAGCATATCCTGTGTTCGGTGATGCTGGAGATATGTGAGGTGGAGGTGGTGGTGGTGGTGGTGGTGACCTGGTGCAGCAGGTCGCAGTCCGGGGGCAGATGCTCGAGGCGCACGAGGGGGAGGAGCGCGGCGAGGAGGTCGCGCACCGCCTGCTCCCCGCTCTCCCTGCGCCGCGCCCCGCGTCGCGACACCGAGTGCGCCGTGTGCCAGATCACGTTCGGCTCTGACGTATACATACATACATACATATATATATGTGAGAGAGAGGGAGAGAGAGAGATCACACATCGTTGCTATGTGACCAGCTTATTATTTATAATAACTCACGTATATTCGTCCGGTGTCGGCATCGACTAGTGACCTGAAGGCGAGGCTTGTTCGCAAAATAATACCAGTCCCACTCACCCTGATGAAGGGCCCCCGATGTGCTCGGAACTAGTCGGTGCCGCCACCGGACGTATATATGTGAGTGTTTAATCGTTTTTATTTAAGTTTGTTTTAAACTTCTCCAGACGTTCAGGAACATTACAAGAGCAAACTAAGATGAATGAGTTGTCGAGTTTTAGCGTGACGGCGGAGTGCGGAGTATGGAACATGAAGTTCATAGTTACCTCTGTTGTCGTGTTGTGCGTGTTTGGGTGCGGCGGCGCGCTCCGCCCAGCGCAGCAGCGCGCGCAACGCCTGCGCCTCGCTCGCCTGCAGGAAGGGGGAGCCGAGCGCCTCCGCCACGGCACTGCGCGGCAGCCGCGCTGACGACGCCTGCCACATTATCGCCGGGAACTCGTCGCGCAGGTACCGCATCGCCTGTCTGCACCGCACGTTGCGCACGTTACACGCGTTGCGCGCCATGCGCACGTTGCGCGCGTTGCGCACGTTGCGCACCTCGCGCACCGTCACTCACAAGTGTAGTCGTGTACAGACCTGTGCACCCACTGGGAGGCGTGCGGTGCGGCCGCCCAGCGCAGCACGTGCGGCAACGTGTCCGCCGACAGCGCCTCCACGATCGCGTCCTCGCAACCCTGCACCACTATCGGCATCTCCAGGAACCTGAACACATCACATCACGTCACATCACATCACACAAACAACAGTTCAGCAGTACACACACATATATATGTATAACATTAACAATACCTAGCTATCTCATAAAGCTGAAAGGCATCATCTAATGTGGTCGTGTTGTTTGGTCGCGGAGAAGTGCGCGACACGCCCGACCACGCCTGCAAATACAAATACATTAAGTGTCGCACTTAGTGTACATTAATGACATCCGTACACGAGGCTATTTCAGTCGCTTAGCAACTTACGCAATGTGATATCGTACAGCGGTGTCGCCGACTATTCTGTTATCGTTAAAGACAATCGCTCACATGTTTATCAAGATCGTCATGAGATGAGCAATTTTCAAGATGGCGGAGCAAATCTACACTTCACATGTAGTTAGTAATGTCGATTAACGTTGTGTGTCGACGATTTACGTTGCCTCGTGTACGAATCTATACTCTGTGTAATGGTGGGGGGGGGGGGG